GTGTAGGTCTACAATCTTGTCCCTGACATCCTTGGGCAGCTCTTTGGGCTTTGCCATGTTCGAATATGATTGATTGCTCCTGTGGACAAGTGTATTTTGTACAGGTAACAAAATGAGATTATCAGCACTCCCTTTAAGAGACTGCTTCTAATCTCAGCTTGTTACCTGTATGAAATACACCTGGTAGCCAAAAATCCTGCTGAATGATAAGGGATCAAATACTTATTTACCTCATGGACATGTAAATCAGTGCATAATTTGTTGGACATGCATTTCTTTTAATTTTTTTGTTGCTATTCTGTCTCTGTGTTACAATACACCTACCATTTAGTTTTTAGACTGATCATGGGCAAACATTCAAAATCAGCAGGGATCAAATACTTATTTTCTTCACTGTATCTGCAGTATGGAAGCTGATGTCTCCTGGCATTTACTCCCTATTTATGCACCCCTAGACATAAGCATTCAACCCTTGTAGTGTGGGAGAACCCCACTCCCAAGGTATACCCTCCTTTTTTTTTTTTTTTTTTTCTTTTTTCATTCCTGTAGTTGAACTTTAAGAGAGTAAAGTTTTATCTTTCTGTGTAAACAAGGGAGAGAGGAAAGGAGGCACCACTGCAGTATTAGGTTAAAACCTTAATGACACACCACCCAGTAAAAAAAACACAGAAGTAGATAAGACAGGAATATCAGCATATCCAAAGGGGGGGTCTCTCTTCTACATCCTGCAGGAGCTACCAGTAAAAAACTGTCCAATGATCGTGCTGGAAGTGAGGTCCAGGGAGGCAGTCTGAAGTGGAGCGTACGGGTGGATGTGACGTCTCCAGAGGAAGTAGGAACTGGAAGGGGATAGCAGTGATCACAGGCTATGCTCTCGGAGCCCCTAGCTCCTTCTACAGGCCTAACTAGGCATACCTGGAGCTGTTGTTTATATAGATTGTAAACTCGAAAGAGCAGGGCCCTCGAACCCCTCATGTATTGTTTTATTACTGTATTGTCTCATGTACTGTCCCTCACTATAATGTACAGCGCTGAGCAAACCTTTTGGTGCTACTTAAATACTGTATAATAATATTGAGGGCAGTAAAAAGGAAACAGTAGCTGTGAGACAAGGTCCAGCCATCCCAGAATCGGTATTATATAAAAGGACGTGATAAATGTGTATATTAATAGTGCAATAAAAGATAAAAACAAGGGGAAGCATTATGGAAAACATAGCAACTGGACCTATATGTGATGATGGTGACTGTAATTAAGATAAGAATAAAAGTGGATAGGTGACTAAAGATGAATAAGCATGGATAAAACATCACTCAAAAGATGTGAAAACATACTGGGGGCTAATTTTTATTGTGTGTGTGTATACACATATACACGTGAGATATATATATATGTGTGTGTGTGTATATATATATACATACATACAGTGGGGATCGAAGGTTTGGGCACCCCAGCTAAAAATTTGTATTAATGTGCATAAAGAAGCCAAGGAAAGATGGAAAAATCTCCAAAAGGCATCAAATTACAGATTAGACATTCTTATAATATGTCAACAAAAGTTAGATTTTATTTCCATCATTTACACTTTCAAAATAACATAAAACAAAAAAATGGCATCTGCAAAAGTTTGGGCACCCTGCAGAGTTAATATCTTGTACTGCCCCCTTTGGCAAGTATCACAGCTTGTAAACGCTTTTTGTAGCCAGCCAAGAGTCTTTCAATTCTTGTTTGAGGTATCTTTGCCCATTCTTCCTTACAAAAGTCTTCCAGTTCTTTGCGATTTCTGGGCTGTCTGTCACGCACTGCTCTTTTAAGGTCTGGCCACAGATTTTCAATTATGTTGAGGTCAGGAGATTGTGAAGGCCATGGCAATACCTTTCAGTTTATGCCTCTTGATGTAATCCCCTGTGGATTTCGAGGTGTGTTTAGGATCATTATCCATTTGTAGAAGCCATCCTCTCTTTAACTTCAGCTTTTTCACAGATGGCATCAAGTTACCATCCAAAATTTGCTGAAATTTTATTGAATCCATTTTTCCTTCTACTCGTGAGATGTTCCCTGTGCCACTGGCTGCAACACAACCCCAAAGCATGATTGATCCAACCCCATGCTTAACAGTTGGACAGAGGTTCTTTTCATTCAATTCTGTGCCCCTTCTTCTCCAAACGTACCGTTGCTCATTCCGGCCAAAAAGTTCAATTTTAACCTCATCGGTCCACAGAACTTGTTTCCAGAATGCATCAGGCTTGTCTATATGTTTATTTGCAAAGTTCAAACAATGATTTTTGTGGTGAGGACGTAGAAGAGGTTTTCTTCTGATGACTCTTCCATGAAGACCATATTTGTACAAGTATCTCTTTATAGTGGAATAGTGTACCACAACTCCAGTGTCTGCCAGATCTTTCTGGAGGGATCGTGCAGTCAAACGTGGGTTTTGAATTGTTTTTCTCACAATCCTGCGAGCTGCTCTGTCTGATATTTTTCTTGGTCTTCCAGATCTTGCTTTAACTTCCACTGTTCCTGATGACTGCCATTTCTTAATTACATTCCGAACAGAGGATATTGACATTTGAAAACGCTTTGCTATCTTCTTATAGCCTTCTCCAGCTTTGTGAGCGTCAACTATTTTCAGTTTCAGTTTTCTAGACAACTGCTTAGAAGAACCCATGGTGCTGATTGTTGGGGCAAGGTCAGATGAGTCTGGGCATAAAACCTTTGAGATTGACATCACCTGGTCTTCCCAGACGATGACTGAGAACAATCCATGACACTGGCAGGTCTCGGCTTTGCAAAGGGGGCAGTGCATGCTATAAATTCTGCAGCGTGCCCAAACTTTTGCAGACGCCATTTTTTTGTTTTCTGTTATTTTAAAAAGTGTAAATGATGGAAATAAAATCTAACTTTTGTTGACATTATAAGAATGTCTAATCTGTAATTTGATGCCTTTTGGAGATTTTTCCATCTTTCCTTGGCTTCTTTATGCACATTAATACAAATTTTTTAGCTGGGGTGCCCAAACTTTCGATCCCCACTGTATATACACTGCCCCAAAAAATTAAAGGAACACTTTGAAAACACTTCAGATCTCAATGGGGGAAAAAAAATATCATGCTGGATATTTATACTGATATGGACTTGGTAATGTGTTAGGAATGTAAAGATGCCCCATCATTTGATGGAAATGAAAATTATCAACCTACGGAGGACTGAATTCAGAGACACCTCGAAAATCAGAGTGAAAAAATGATGCAGCAGGCTAGTCCATTTTGCTGAAATTTCACTGCAGCAAATCAAAATGGTGCTCAATAGTTTGTATGGCCCCCACATGCTTGTATGCATGCCTGACAATGTCAGGCCATGCTCCTAACGAGATGACGGATGGTGTCCTGCGGTATTTCCTCCAAGATCTGGACCAGGGCATCACTGAGCTTCTGGACAGTCTGAGCTGCAACAGGGAAGCGGCAGATGGACCGAAACATGATATCCCAGAGGTGTTCTGTTGGATTTAGGTCAGGCAAGCGTGGGGGCCATTCAATGGTATCAATTCCTTCATCCTTCAGGAACTGCCTGCATACTCTCACCACATGAGTCTGGGCATTGTTGTGCACCAGGAGGAACCCAGGACCCACTGCACCAGTGTAGGGTCTGACAATGGGTCCAAGGATTTCATCCCAATACCTAATGGCAGTCAGGGTGCAGGTTACAGGCGGCATAACATTCTCCACAGCGCTCCAGACCCTGTCACGTGCTCAGGGTGAACCTGCTCTCATCTGTGAAAAACACATGGTGCCAGTGGCAGACCTGCCAATTCTGGTGTTCAATGGCAAATGCCAATCGAGCTCTATGGTGCTGTGCAGTGAGCACAGGGCTCACTAGAGGATGTCCGGCCCCAGGCCACCCTCATGAAGTCTGTTTCTGATTGTTTGGTCAGAGACATTCACACCATTCACACCAGGGATCTGGAAGTGCTCATCTTGTTCCTCCTTGTGCAAAGGAGCAGATACTGGTCCTGCTGATGGGTAAAGGACCTTCTACGGCCCTGTCCAGACTCCTGGAATCTCCTCCATGGTCTTGAGACTGTGCTGGGAGAAACAGCAAACCATCTGGTAATGGCACATATTGATGCACCATCCTGGAGGAGTTGGACTGTCTGTGCAACCTCTGTAGGGTCCAGGTATCGCCTCATGCTACCAGTAGAGACACTGACCCTAGCCAAATGCAAAACTAGGGAAAAACAGTCAGAAAAAATGAGTAGGGGAAAAAATGTCAGTGGCCGCCACCTGTAAAACCATTCCTGTTTTGGGGATCGTCTCATTGTTGCCCATGTAGTGCACCTGTTAATTTCATTAACACCAAAGCAGCTGAAACTGATTAACAACCCCCTCTGCTACTTAACTGACCAGATCAATATCCCAGGTGTTTAACTGACTTGATGCTACACTCTGATTAAAAAGTGTTCCTTTAATTTTTTTGAGCAGTGTGTATAATGTACTGTATATACACACACCCACATGTCTATGTAAACATAACCCAGTGTCATGCACAGTATTGGAAAATGGAAAGTATCTTGCAAAAACGTTGGTCCATACTATTAGAGGATCATTTTCTGCAAACTTCCCTTACCTAATACCCCTTCCTGCTCCTCTTAGGACCTCCCTGGACCTCACTTCCAGCACTATCATCGAACCTTTTTTCCTTGGAGGTTCCTGCAGGATGGAGAAGAGACCCCCCCTTTGATATGCAGATATGCCTGTCTTTTTATTACTTCTGTGAGTGCTTTTGTACTGCGTGTCATTAAAGTGTTCCCGTAATACTGCACTTAGTGGTGCCTCCTGTCCTCTCTCCCTTGTTTCTACTGTACAGAGCTGGCTCACTCTGCAGGATGGCAGCCGCTTGCTAAAGCTCTAGCACACTAAAGGGAGAGATATGAACCTGCAGCCATGATGTGTGCAAAGAGCAAGAAAGCTGTGCATGGTGTGCTGCTCTGCCAACTACTGATCGAGAAATACATTTAGGGCCAGCTCACGCTACATGTGTTTCAGTTGCTTTTTTCTGCATCCAAAATGCACAGAAAGTAGGTTGTATGGTTGTCAATGTCATAGTTCACATCAGTGCTTGCAGTTTCAGTGCGTTCCAGTTGCAGAGAAAAAAAAAGAACATGCTGCATTTTTTTCTGCACAGAATTGTAGTAGAGCGCACCAAAAACGCACTGGAATGCACATGTCCCTATTTAAATTGAAGAAAAAGAGAGCTGGAAAATGAACTATAATGCATAAAAAATGCACCGGAATGCGTCACAAACACATACAAAAACGTGCCAAAAATGTATCAAAAACATGCGTGCGAAAACACATCTGGAACTGTACTGGAACACGGTAAAACACATAAAAATGTACACTGTAAAACACCAAAACGTACTAAAAACACACTGTAATGCACATGTCCCTAGTTAAATTGAAGAAAAAGAGAGGGGAGAAAAATGAACTGGAATGCATGAAAAACGCACTGGAACGCATCAAAAACACACCAGAACACACCAAAAAGACGCATGCAAAAACGCCCCAAGAGCCGGTTCACACTATAGAAATGCAGTCCAGATACATTCCAGATGCATTTTCGCATGCACGTTTTTGATGCATTTTTGGCTTGTTTTTTATGCATTATAGTTCATTTTTCCACCTCTCTTTTTCTTCAATTTAAATAGGGACATGTGCATTCCAGTGCGATTTTGGTGCATTCCAGTACAATTCCGTGCAGAAAAAATGCAGCATGTTCTACTTTTTTTTCTGCAACCGGAATGCACTGGAACGGCAAGCAGTGATGTGAACTATGACATTGACAACCATATAACCTACTTTCTGTACGTTTTGGATGCAGAAAAAAAGTTACTGAAACGCATATAGTGTGAACTGACCCTTAAGAACGTAGTTAGAAAAGCAATGGGAATCAACCATAATTTACATAGCATTTTTTTACCAAGAAAGTTTTCCAGCTTCCCCCCGCGGTGACCTCACGGTTCTTGGAGGTCAGCTTAGCCCTTATGCACACTGGATGTTTTTGCTGTCTCTCCTACATGCCTTTCCTTCTAGCAGTAGCGTTTTGGCAGATGCATGTAAACGTGTGTAATGTTTAGACGCGTCATGCACTTGGATGTTAATTCATTTCATTGGTCAGAATAATCATTTATTTCTGGCCATTAAGATGAATTAACACTCAAGTGCTATAATGCTGCCACCTCTTCTTCACTCCCTCTTTCTGTAGGGGTCCCTCAAGGTTCTGTCCTTGGACCACTTCTCTTCTCCATCTACACCTCCTTTGGTCACTTGATAAACTCCCATGGCTTTAAGTACCATCTCTATGCTGATGACACACAAATCTATCTCTCTACCCCTCACCTCACCCCTTCAGTCTCCTCTCGCATTACTAACCTACTAAGTGACATATCGGCATGGAAGTCACTCCACTTCCTCAAACTCAATCTTTCCAAAACTGAGCTCTTAGTATTCCCTCCAGCCCGTGCCCCCTCCCCTGACTTCTCCATCAAGATCAATAACACAACCATCAGTCCCTCCCCTCATGCCAGGGTACTAGGTGTAATCCTAGACTCTCGTCTGTCCTTTCACCCCCAAATCCAATCGCTGTCCAAATCTTGTAGACTTCACCTCCGCAACAAGATACGCCTGTTCCTAACCTCGGAAACCACTAACAACTTATTCACTCCCTTGTTATAGCTCGCCTTGACTATTGTAACTCCCTCCTCATTGGCCTACCTCATCGCAGGCTATCCCCTCTTCAGTCTATCATGAATGCTGCTGCCAGACTCGTCCACCTTATTAACCGTTCTGTATCTGCCACCCCTCTCTGCCAATCCCTCCACTGGCTTCCCGTTGCCCAATGGATAAAATTCAAAACATTAACAATAACGTATAAAGCCATTTATAACTCTGCCCCAAATTACATCACCGATCTTATCTCTAAATATCACCCAAACCGTACTCTTCACTCCTCGCAAGACCTCCTGCTCTCTAGCTCTCTTGTCTCCTCCTCTCATGCTCGTCTCCAGGACTTCTCCCATCCTCTGGAACTCTCTACCCCAATTTATCAGAGTATCGCCTACTCTGCTCCCTTTTAGGCGATCTCTGAAAACCTATCTCTCTTCAGGGAAGCCTATCCTGCCCTCAGCTAATACTGGAATCTTCTACTCTTCCAACCAGTCCATCCCCCACAGTTACTACCTTTTGTACCATTAGCCCCTCCCTCCTAGATTGTAAGCTCCGAGGAGCAGGGCCCTCCTATCCCTCTTGTATTGAACTGTATTGTCTCCCGTTATATTGTAAAGCGCTGAGCAAACTGTTGGCGCTATGTAAATCCTGTATAATAATAATAAACATTTTTAGATGCATTTGCAGGCATCAAATATATTTTTCTGACAAAATGCTGGATGTACTGGCAGTGTTGTTTTTTTTTTTTCTGCCTCTAAACCCCCCTGCATCTTAACTCCTCTAAATGCCTATGTGTGCATGGACACATACAGTTGCAAGAAAAAGTATGTGAACCCCTTGGGATTACGTGGAGTTTTGCATGAATTGGGCATAAAATGTGCTCTGAACGTCATCTAAGTCACAAAAATAGAAGAACACAGTCTGCTGAACATAATACTACACAAACATTAGATGTTGCCATGGTTTAATTGCACTTAACATGTAAACATTCACAGTGCAGGGAGAAAAAAGTATGTGAACCTTTGGACTTAATAACTGGTTGACCCTCCTTTGGCAGCAATAACCTCAACCAAACATTTCCTGTAGTTGCAGATCAGACCTGCACAATGATCTGGAGTAATTTTGAACCGCTCCCCTTCACAAAACTGTTTCAGTGTAGCAATATTCTTGGGATGTCTGGTGTGAATCGCTCTCTTAAGGTCATGCCACAGCATTTCAATCGGGTTGAGGTCAGGACTCTGACTGGGCCACTCCAGAAGGCGTATTCTGTGCTGTTGCAGCCATTGTTTTGTTGAATTACTTGTATGCTTTGGGTCATTGTCCTGTTGCATCACCCATCCTCTGCGGAGCTTCAGTTGGCGGACAGATGGTCGTACGTTTTCCTGCAAAATGTCTTGATAAACTCTGGAATTCATTTTCCCATCAATGACAACAATCCGTCCAGGCCCTGAGGCAGCAAAGCAGCCCCAAACCATGATGCTCCCTCCGCCATGTTTTACAGTGGGGATGAGGTTTTGATGTTGGTGTGCTGTGCCTTTTTTTCTCCACACATAGTGTTGTGTGTTCTTCCCAAACAACTCACTCTTGGTTTCATCTGTCCACAGTATATTTTGCCAGTAGTGCTGTGGAACATCCAGGTGCTCTTTTGCAAACTTCAAACGTGCTGCAATATTCTTTTTGGACAGCAATGGCTTCCTCTGTGGTGTCCTCCCATGTACTCCATTCTTGTTTAATGTTTTCCTTATTGTAGATGTGTCAACAAAAATGTTAGCATGTGCCAGAGATTTCTGTAGGTCTTTAGCTGACACTCTGGGATTCTTCTTTACCTCATGCAGCATTCTGTGCTGTGCTCTTGCAGTCATTTTTACAGGATGACCACGCCTAGGGAGAGTAGCAACAGTGCTAAACTTTCTCCATTTGTAGACAGTCTGTCTTACCGTGGACACATGAACATCAAGGCTTTTGGAGATACTTTTGTAACCCTTTCCAGCTTCATGCAAGTCAACAATTCTTGATCGTAGGTCTTCTGAGAGCTCTTTTTTGCGAGGCATGGTTCACATCAGACAGTGCTTCTTGAAACCAGTAAACCCAAAACAGGTGTGTGTTTTTTAAGGGCAGGACAGCTGTCAGCAACACATCCAATATCATCACACTGATTGGAGTCAAGGTTGGCTCACTCCTGGCTCCAATTAGCTCTGGGAGAAGTCATTAAGCTAGGGCCTCACATACTTTTTCCTCCCTGCACTGTGAATGTTTACATGTTATGTGCAATTAAACCATGGCAACGTCTAATGTTTGTGTAGTATTATGTTCAGCAGACTGTGTTCTTTTATTGTTGTGACTTAGATGACGTTCAGAGCACATTTTAAACCCAATTCATGCAAAACTCCACGTAATCCCAAGGGGTTCACATACTTTTTCTTGCAACTGTAGGCTAACATGAAGGGGCATTTAGAGGCAAAAAAACCCCAAAAAACACCGGACACCCCTAGGAGCAGTGTCAAAAATGTCTAGTGTGCATGAGGCCTTAAAAAGTATACCACATAAGAGAGACAAAGGATGGTTAAAGCAGGAGTGCCGTTGGCTTGGCAGGGATGTTGTTCCTCCCACGCATGTGGAGGAGTTCCTTTGGCGCGGCTCATTGTACAGGGCCAGACAGGCAAGTGGGTAATTTTAATACAGAAGTGACAAAGCATGTCTCTTCGGTATTAAAAATCCTGCCTGTTTGCCCATTTTTATTTTTTACCTAATTTTTTTTACCTATTTTTTACCTAAAGTTCCACTTTAACTTCAGGTGGGTTCTCCCACATCATGCCTCAACAATTAGGCTCCATTCACACCTATGCAGTTCACTTTTTGTCCGTTTTGCAGTGCTTGTCGCAGTTTATTTTGTGTTTTTCTACATGCGTTTTTGATGCGTTTTGGTGCATTTTTGATGCGTTTTGGCGCGGTTTACCGTGTTTCGTTCAGTTTTTTTTTTTGTGTAATTTTTTTTTGCTAGGCACAATAACAATGAAAAATGCAGCAAAAACGCACTACCATGCATTTCAGCAGATTTTCCATTGAACTCTATTGTAGCAAAAACGCTGTGTTTTGCTTTTAAAAAAGTCCCTGACCCTTTCCAAAAATGCAGCAGCTCAAAAAAAGCATAGATGTGAACATGTTCCATAGGAAACCATATTAAATGGACTGTAGTCCATTTCTGCAAAAAGCAAAAAAGCACTTAAAAACGCATTGCAGTGAACGGAGCCTAAGGCCCACCAGGGGGTGATGCATGTCCGGGGACCTCTTCGGCAGATGGAGAGCAGAGTTGAAGACTCGCCGTCCTGTGTGCGATTGATTGCCATTTTTCTGTAGCATATTATAGCCTGGCAAGCTTTTGTACGATCTGTACCAGGTCACTACATGTTATGTTGGCTGATATCAGTAATGGGCGCATTAGAGCAGTACTTTTTTTTTTCTTGGTACACGCACAAGATGCTAATGCTGGACTAACACACTATTGAACTGTAGGAATCAGTGGAGCCATACACACAGTTGTGACTGCAAATGACAACATGTGGCATACAAAAAAAAATTGGAACAGTCCAAGGCGAACATATCGGATTTTATGTGTAAAGACATACATGCGTAAAGTGCGCATCTAAAAGGGATTACTGTAGGCATTTATTTTATACAGAATATTCTGCTAGATCTGCCATGTGTTCTAAGCAGAAAATACAAATGTCCATGTGAATGAGCCCCTAGGGCTTTAACCAGTTGGTGACC